TAATGTTTATTTGAGATATTTTATATTTATCGGCACCATAAAATAGATGTAAATTTTTTTTACGTTCGAGTAGACTATAAAATTTCATAAATGCAGTTCTATAGCGATGAATACAGTATACATCATTATAGAACTGCATTTATGAAATTATAAAATTTAGTATACAGTATACTATATATGGAATAAAACTAATGTTACGGATTTTATCACGTTTAATTTTAACTTCTTTACGTGGGGTTTTTTTACGCATCTTTGGATGAAAGTTCCATAAAAACCCGCCTAAAAGAACACATCGTTGATGTGAAACACCGACGCTCTGGGAAGTCTAAAGTATGTCAACATATTTAGTATCGTCCCAACCGTTATATCGGATCTGATATACAACAAATCCTTGCAATAGAACACCAATTCCTACCAATGATGATTCGCGAGCCTTTTGAAATTAAAAAACATCCTAATTTTAAGATGGAAGATGACTGAGTGCTATCATCTGCTAAGGACCCTATCTATACAAATAAATAAAATTGAAGTGTCTGTTTGTAATGTCAAAATAACAGCTTTTTACTAAATGTATATGAAAGTATATACGGTAGGTACTTATAACAAAAACACAATTTATAAAATTTTTACTGTCTGTTTGTTCCGGCTAATCTCCGAAACGGCTGGACCTAGCAGATAGCTGATGTTATAGGAAGTAACTTAGGCTACTTATATTTTAGAAAAACAATTAAGGTTCCGCGCAACATAATTAAAATCCTAAATTACACGCGGGTGAAGTCGCGGGGAACAGCTAGTAATTAATAAAATTAAATTCAAACCCAAGCATACTATTATTGCATTTATTGTATTCATTTCTATTTTTATTCTATTCTATTCTATTCTAAATATGATATTAGGTCGTCAAACACCTTAGTCCACCTGTGACCATGGGTACTGTAAAGTGCCCAAAACATCGGGAATTAAAAAAGTTTAAATTAAACGCGATAAAATCCTTAAAATTAGTTTCATTGCTTATAAATTTTATTCACGGTGAACGTGGGAATCACTATACTCATGAACGGGAGTAGAAAAATGTTCGTCTTGTTGTGGCGATGAAAGAGAATCCGCCACCTCATATCGTCCTGTCGTAAGAGGCGACATAGGAAAACAAACAGGAGATGGGCAGCATCATTTTCCTGACAACAAATGTACCTAAATAATAATATCTGTGGTTGCCAACCCGTCTACCAAACGTGGCAACTATAGCAAATATCCAGCTACTTGACAATTTATGGGGGAGGCCTATGTTCATTTCAGTGGACTTTTGATAGGCTGACGATAATGAGTTCTACTCATTTTTGCAACCCTTAATATTTACGGTAGAGTGAAAACAAAAAATCAACATACTCGAAAATATGAATGAAATAAATACTGCATATACTATTGCCCCATGAAAGTAAAAAAGTAGCAGCTTACATACATGTTACTATTGGGCGCAGGCCGCCGAGTTTTTGGCCAAAAGTCTTCGCTGCGCAATTCCAACGCGGGATGTCCTCAATTGCGAAACTTCTGTTTTCCTTTACCGCCAAAAATGTGGTAAATTGACATTCCAAATTGCAATTCAAATATATGCTAAATATATAATAATGCTTACGTACCATGAAATTTAAGTTTTAATCAGTTTGATTACCGCCATTGACAAGTAAAATAAAATGAACCTTTGTTTAAGTAAAACCGGCTTTCTTCAATTAGTAAGTAAGTATTTTTCCGCAATAGCCTGTTCATTTACATATAGGTATTCATATGAGCTATGAAACCAGGACTATCAAATATATCTTAATGTGTTTGAAAATATGAAAGCTATTTTAATTTACAAACTGATTTATAAGTCTCGTTAATGGTAAAAAAAGTAAAGTAGCAGCTAATATACGTCTCACTAATGTCCACAGGGCTCATCACTACCTATAGTGTTTTGTGGGCAGAAAAATAGAATATACTACAATGCTTTAATGCATATTAACTGTTTTTACATCTCCACGACTACTTTAATTACTCAGACATCTAGGTTTCCCCACGAAGTTATACGTTACCACTTTAACGGACACGTGTTAAGTCAGCACAAGTTTTCTATAACAGTTTTGCTCCCGTGCTACGATGAAATCTCACGGCGAGAGCTACACGGCCCTCGTATTTGTTTATATACAATTTCTAAAAACTGAAACTTAGCTTTTGTATGATTGTTGACCACTTATACCTAGTAATTACCCTTCCAACGATGCCACGAACAAATTTTCAATTATTTACATCGTAATTCAGTAACATTCTATTATTTAATGAGGGCTAATAATCTTCCACTCACCAGATGTCGCTAGTTGTGACTGAGGTAAAGTTTTTCGTTACATAGTGTTAGTTAATTGAGAAATTAGTTTTAAATAATAGTTTATCATTATCTAGAGTATTATATTAATATACAACACTGAGTCAGTGGTTTGATTTTTAATTTTTTGCACTTTATAATTCTTTTTTTAATTTTTCTACTTTAAGTTATATTTATAGTTTGGTTTATTCATTTCTAATGTAATTAATATAAAAATTTTTTGTCAAGCTATATCATGAGATGGTCAACAAACAGTGCTAAATATCATGAAATGACCACACGATTTCACGAAATGATAGACTACTTTATGATAGGTATATGATCAATTCTACGATCTGATCACGACATATATAAAAATATGTTTAATAAAGCTATAAAGATTATGAAAATTTTGCAATAATTGCAAACAGACCAGTTTTAATCAGTTTACATATAGATTAGTATAATTGAAATAAAAACCTTATCAATTTTCATATCTTTGATAGATGTCATCTTTTAAAACATTATTACACTTTTAAAATAAAATAACATAAATACTAAAAAAACTAAACGTTACAATTTTTAAATAATTTTAAAAATCTTATTATTTAAACATATACATATTTTTATTTATATTATTTAGTTTATTAGTAACTGAAGGCAAAATATACTAATTTTTCCATTTGATGATAGATGGCGCTATTTTGATAACTACATCATTGTATTTTACCAAGTTTATAACTATATTTTAAACTAAATTATTTATAAATATGGTATATGGTATTATTAATATTTGATTAATATTTGATTTATAAATATTTGAAAAACACCCGTTATCCCGCCTATAACTAATATATAACAGAAAATTAACATATAAAGGAAGGAAAATACTTAACCTTCTTTTTTTTAAGTTCCGTAATCGGATAAAAAGTAGCCTATAAGTTGCCCCGGGTTACTAACTACCTACATACAAAATTTTATGTAAATCGGTCCAGTGGTTTTTGCGTGAATCCGGAATACACAGACAGACAGATAGACAGACAGACAAAAATTCTAAAAACCACTGATTTGGCTTGAGAACCCTTTATTTAGTCCCCTGGACTTGTTTTTTCAAGAATATATTAGAATTACAGACACTTTTCTACAGATTTATTATATGTATAGATTATGTTAAAAGATATATAATTAGGTATATTAAAAGTTGTGAATATAATGTGTTACATTAACACAGTTTTTCTCTCATCTTTTGGTCCCTAGTCAAAAAAGGTTGGGAAACCCTGCTTTACAAGATACAGGTGCGTACACCATTGTAAATATGGAATGATAATGGAATATCTCTCTTACATAGGACAAACAAAAGATTTATAAAACCAGCATGAAAGAACATAAAACTGACGTAAAGCACCGACACTTCGGGAAGTCTGCAGTCTATGAACATATTCAAGATCTTTTCCACTATTACATTAGATTTGATAGATCACAAATCCTCGTAAAAGAACACCGATGCCTACTAACGATAATTTGCTAATAAACTAAAAAAATCATAATTTTAATAGAGAAGATGGATGGGTGCTACCATCTGCTTGGAATTCTATAATTAATAAAATTAAATCCAAACCCAAATACACTACTGCAAGTCTTCAAGATACTGTAAGCTCGTTCTGTGTAGACCAGACCAAAGAAAAATTTAAAAACGTGCAGGTAGCCGGGATAACTATGACATAGGGACGTCAAACACCTCTGTGACCATGAGTGCTGCAAAGCACCCGAAACATCGGGAATTAAAAAGATAACATTCATTATCATCATCATCATTTTAGCCCTTCACAAATTCACTGGTAAACATAGTCCTCCCCCAAGGAATGCCACAAAGCACGGTCCTAAGCCACCTACATCCATTGACTTAAAAAAAAAGAATATTTTTTTTAAATATTAAACGTCATAAAATTCGTAAAATTAGTTTCATTTAATATCTTCTCAACAAGCTAGAGCGTCTCCTTAATTCTTAGATCATAGTTAAACGGGCATCAAAATTATAATTATGTTTCTTTTCATCGTAATCATCTTGAAGGGCTCACATTATAATAGAGGCACAATTCTAGAATTCTGCTTCTTTTTTTCTTGTCGCATACGATTGAAGTTTGTGAGATGGTCCGTACGATCGTCGCAACTTGAATGACCTCCTTTATAAATTCCTGTTAAATTATAATATACTAGCTCGCCAGGCAGACGTTCTGCCCTCTCCGACGACCTTTTGTCCTATAAAAACTCCTTACATTCGTAATAAAAAATATTGAGGGTCATTTATCGGGATAAAAACTATCCTATCTCTCAAGTTGGACCAAACTGAACGCAGTGTGCAAAATTTTATTGGAATCAGTTCAGTAGTTTAGGAGTCCATTGCGGACAAACCACGTGACACGTAATTTTTATATATAAAGATTATATAATATTACAAAACCTTCGTATGTTCCTATCATTTAAAAAAATCTAAATTCAATTTTTGACTTTCCTAAATGTCAACAGTTATAAATTCTTTAAGTAAATTCTCACTAAAAACGTTGGAAAACCGTTTTGTGTTTTGCTTTAGAGATCAAATATACTATAATATTCTTTGCACATAATACTAGTATACCAGTTATTTCTTTGAATATTGCAAAACATAATGTATCGTTTACATAGTATTATACAAATCGGACCCAGTAAAACAAAATATTTTTGGATGCGACAATTTTACGCTAGGTTTGCAAAGGATGTAAAATTTGGATCTGATATTAGATCTTTGATGATGGAAGGAGTTGATATAATTGCTGATGCAGTTGCTGTTACCATGGGTCCCAAAGGACGTAATGTTATTTTAGAACAAGCATTTGGACCACCAAAAATAACTAAAGATGGGATGACTGTTGCCAAAAGTATTGAATTAAAGGATAAATTTGAAAATATTGGGGCAAAATTAGTCGCAAATGTAGCAAATAAGACTAACGAGGAAGTTGGGGATGGAACTACAACCGCTACAATTTTAGCACGAGCTATAGCTAAGGAAGGATTTGCAAGTATTTCTAAAGGAGCTAATCCAATTGAAATCAGAACAGGAATTAGATTAGCAGTTGATTGCGTCGCAGAGAAACTTACATCAATGTCAAAATTAATAAGTACGTCAGAAGAAATAGAACAAATTGCAACAATATCTGCAAACGGTGATAAATCCATTGGACAATTTATCGCAACAGCAATAAATAGAGTTGGAAAAGATGGTATTATAACTGTCAAAGAAGGAAGCACTTTACACGACGACTTAGAAATAATTGAAGGTATGAAATTGGAGAGAGGTTATGTTTCACCACATTTTATCAATTCTTTAAATGGTTCAAAGGTTGAGTATAGTGACGTACTCGTTCTTCTTTCTGAAAAGAAAATATTTAGTGCCCAACAAATTATTCCAGCTATGGAGATCGCACATACACATAAAAAACCATTGCTTGTTATCGCTGAAGATTACGAAGATGAAATTTTATCAATTTTAATAGTGAATAAATTAAAAATCGGCTTGGGAGTTGTAGCAATCAAAGCTCCTGGTATCGGAGAACAGAGAAAAAATGTTTTAATGGATATAGCTACTGCGACGGGTGGTGTAGTTTTTGAGGACAATGCTAATCTAATTAGACTTGAAGATTGTCAGCTTGAAAGCCTTGGAAGAGTTGGCGAAATAATGGTTACAAAAGATTACACCCTGTTGTTGCGAGGGAAGGGAGATAAAATAGAGATAAAAGAACGCATTGAACAAATTCAATTGGAATTTGAAAATACGAAAAGTGATTTTGAAAAGGAAAGGCTTTTGGAACGTATTTCGAGACTAAACTCTGTAGTAGCTGCTTTGATTATAGGTGGCAGCAGTGAATTTGAAGTAAACGAAAAAAAAGAACGGGTTAATGACGCTCTTAACGCAACACGCGCCGCTATTGCAGAAGGTATAGTACCTGGGGGCGGAGTAGCGTTCTTACGGTGTATTCCAACGTTGGATAAAATAAAACCAATTAACACAGATCAGGCTACTGGAATAAACATTGTAAGAAAAGCCTTAAGTAGTCCATGTATTGCTATTGCAAAAAATGCAGGCTACGACGGATCTGTTATTGTAACAAAAATAAACAATTTATATTCTGATTATGGATATGATGCTTTAAATAACGATTACGTAAATTTAATTGAAAAAGGTATAGTAGATCCAACTAAAGTACTAAGATGTGCGCTAACAACTGCTTGTGGAATCGCATCTCTACTCACAACAGCTGAAGTTGTTATTTGTGACAAGATAAAAAAGAGATGAAATCCGTTTGGAACTTGATATATCTTACAGTGATATTTACTAAAACATGTTTTTGTGTTCTATGTTAGCTATCCATCTGACATTATGTGTAATTAAGTTAAATAATAATAATAATTTTTTTTTCACCTTTGACGCGAAATGTTTCAACATCCTCAAAACGAGCTCGACAGTTTTCTGCATATTATCAATAACTCAGTAGCACAAACTAATAAGAAATACTAGCTTAGTAGTCATTCTTTTTAGCAGTTTTTTTTTGTAACTGTTATTGGGTTGACGTCTCATTTGTACGAAATACAAATTATATTGTTTTTTCTTTATTTTAATACCGCTCACTGCGTAAAATGACATGAGAATTAAACTGTTTATTTTGATATTCGATTTATATTATTTAAGCTTTTGAAATATATCGAACAATTTAAATAATGTATAGATCTAATGTGTTAAAGTACTGTATTATAATTTAATTATCTCTGATATAATAATAATAATAATAACCTACCTCACGAAAACACCTAAGAACCTCACGAAAGTACCTCATGAAAACACAAATATACACACCTCACGCTGCATTTGCTTTGGTTTCGGCCCGTAAATGTAGTTGAATTACAGTCTAAGGACTGAGAAGTGAAAAACACTTTCCGATAATAATAATAATAAAGGTTTTATTCATAAACACGGTCTTACAAATATATATACCATGGTAGACTTCTTCTATTGAACGCATAATGCGCCCGTATCAAAAGTAAGCCCCTCTTCCATATCATACAATTTACTAAAGCAAGAAACGCTTGTATTAAATTTAAAGAAATTAAAAATAGTGTAGTGTTTGTGTGTGTAGTGAATGTGTAGTGTGTGTGTAATATGTGTGTAGTGTATGTGCGTGTAATGTGTTGTGTGAAAGTTTTCATACTTTTCCCTCTGCACAGCCCTACGACATAAAAGTCTTGGGATCAGCGTTAAGTCACTGAGCAGAGTTGGTAGTTACATATACAACTACATGGTGGTTATGTGTGTATGTATGTAATGAATGAGTGATTTACGCATAAATATCCTCATATCAAAATTCTTATTTTAACAGGTTTTCAACTTTAACAAATTCTAATGTCTTCAGCCATTCAGTGAGTTTTAGTATACAGTTTCTATAAGTCATATATATCTAGTATTTTATTTATTTTATTATATAAATGAGACGAGATGTTTTTGTACTGATTGCGAACAAATTTAGTCTTGGTGTAATTTAGTGCGGTGACTCTATCTTTTCTTCTTTTACTTGAAATATTGGTGTCAATATTAAAGGACATATGTTTTTTCAGAACTACGTACAATATGTAAAGTTTACGAACTTTCAATAAATCTGCATATAAATACAATGACTTTGTTGAAAACTGACGTGTTTTGAAATACATAATTTTTAACAATCCCCTTTGAGCTCATTCTAATTATATAAAATGAGTTTTTACAGCACCACCCCATATCGTTATACAATAAATCAAAACAGATTGTGCCAACGCAATATAGATCTGATCAAGTAACTTTTTATTTCCAATGTGTCTTAGTGTTTTAAATATCCACATTAATTTACGTAATCTGCCAGAAACTAATTCGACATGAGACATCCATGAAAGTCTCTGGTCCACTAAGACACCAAGGTACTTCGTAGATGTTAGTCTAGTTATAGTGGGGCAGTTGCAATTCGCGCTAACTAGCGGCTGACAGCAATGAATCTTAATATCACTGGGAAAGTTAGGCAAACTGTTTTTATGGAAAACAAAATATAGTTTGTTTTGCTGGTATTTAACGTTAGTAAGTTAAGACTTAGCCATTGCGACATCACAGCCAAACCGTACTCTGTATTAATTTTTAAATTGTTCAAGGAGTCGCCTGTAAACACAATGGCAGTGTGGTCAGCATATGAGAATATGCTAGCATGTGTTATATTCATATTGCAGAGTTCGTTTATGTATATTAGAAACAGCGTGGGCCCTAAGACGCTTCCTTGCGGCACGCCATAAGTAACACTAGTTTTTTGACCTATATGTGAACCTATTTTTATCTTCTAAGTCCTACCAGTAATGTAACTTTTAAGTAAGTCAAGGGGCACACCTCTAATCCAACAGTTTTTTAACTTCTGCAATAGAATGGGGGTAGACACGGTGTCAAATGCCTTTTTAAGATCAATAAACACTGTGAGGCAGTTTATCTTTTTATCAAGATTATCAACAACTACAGAAGTAAGGACTTCTACAGCCCTGCTTGAAAGCCAAATTGTGAACTGGATAAGATATGGAACTTATTGAGGAAATTTATGAGCCTCTTTTTGATAAGTTTTTCTATAACTTTTGATATTGCCGGCAATACCGAAATTGGTCTGTAGTTGTTGATATCCTTCTCATCTCCATTCTTATGCACAGGTGTTACTAGGGACTGTAAATATGTATATGAAAAAGAGATCTTTGGTTAGGTATAGAGTTAGGACAAAGATAGATTAAATAGGTTCGACGACGAACGAATGAGCAAGATCTTTAAGTTACTGGTTATCACAAAAGCGAGCATGCCTCAGCAGCGACCGGCAAAGCGCCAAAAGAATAATTTTAAGGTGTTTTAGTGTCCTATTTCTAGGAAGGGTTAGGTTAAAACTCTAAAAAGTCATGAAATACGTGTAAATTAAAGTGAGTTTTTAGTTTTTAAGTTCGAACAGAGTATTAGTGTCTATTAAATTTTTTATAATATTTTTATATCATTTGCGGAACGTACCACATGTTATTTATATTTAATCAAAGACATTTAAGTAGTAGTAATAGACCGGACATCAGTAACAAAATGGTTACCTCTTACTTATGTCTTATAGGATATAATTCGGATTTGTGTCATTTAGTTTTAGTGACATCATCAAAAGCTCAAGACGCGTTCGTTTCCTAAATTTAAAAAAAATATTTTTAAAGAAAATATGCCCGATTGCAAAGAAAATATACACTACGCGAAAAGAAACGACACTTAAGCATGTGTGCACGTAAAATCGCTTGCGGCTATTTAAACTTAAACTTGCGCACTGTACTTAAAAGTCGCGTAACGACTTTTAAGTACAGTGCTTTCCTAAGATATGTTAGATTTAAAGTGTATTTTTGTAAAAGAAACGAATTTGAATAACATGGAGGCGCTCTCTTATTGGATTTGACGTTTCGTTAAGTGCTTTTGACGCCGACCGACCAATCATATGCTATTATTATAGCGTCTAATGGACCTATTGACTTCATCCAAAAGCCTTAGTTATTGGAAAATAAATAAAATAAGTATCATGATACTTAAATGACGTAAAAAGTTTATATAAATTTTTTCGTGTGATGGTAGTCATAATAAATAGATTTATACAATAAAAAAGCATGCGTATTCCTAATTATCGTAAAGCATTAAAAACTTAGTAACCTTAAACAACGTTATCGATACTTTGATGTCGAAACGGTACATTTTGAAAACGGGTTTTTACCTTACATTTATTAGCGTCGCCTACTGGGGAATAGCTGAAATGTTTCCCTAATCAGCTAGTTTTCAGCGTATTTTTGCTGTTTAGCGTGAGTGCGTCACACGCGCGAGCACAAAATTTTTGTATGCAATTGTTCCTAAGTCTAATTTAAATAAGTATATATTTAAATCTGTTTGTATTTAATGAATGGTATTTCTGAAATGTGCTTCAAATTTGATCTGTTTAAAAAATATGACGGCTATTCAAGATATACTATAGTCGTCTCTAGAGAACTATATCGACGGCAAATAGAAGGTGAGTGATGTACTCGCCATTGATGTTAATACCGTATCCTTTCCAGTCCGGTAGCTTGAACACGTCTTCCAATGCAGCGCTGAAGAGTTTCGGGAATATAAAGTCACCCTGTCTTACACCTCTCTGAAGTTGGATAGGTTTGGTACTCTGATTCTGTACTCGGATAGCCATCGTAGCCCTACTGTACAAACACTTTAGCACTTCGATATACCGACAGTCTACTTGGCACCGCTGAAGGTACTGTAGCACCGGCCAAATTTCGACGGAATCAAAGGATTTCTCATAGGCCACATACGCAAGGAAAAGTGGCAGATTGCACTCTGCTGTCTTCTGTACAATTTGCCGAAGGGTGTGTACGTGGTCCATGGTACTAAAGCCTTTTTGGAAACCGGCTTGTTCGGGAGGCTGGAAGTCATCGATTCTGCATGCGAGACGATTCGTAATAACTCTCGAAAACAGTACGTAGAAGCGGCTCAGAAGGGAAATCGGTCTGTAGTTCTTCAAGAGAGCGTTGTCGGCTTTCTTGAAGAACAAGACCACCTCACTTCTGCCCCACGACTCCGAAGTAGTCCCACCATGGAGGACGAAATTAAAGAGCTTTTGAAGGACTTCAAGTACCGGTTTTCCACCCGTTTTCAGAAGCTACGCTGTAATTCCATCCTCACCTGGAGCCTTGCCGTTTTTAAGGTGCTGGAGAGCCATTCTAATCTCGTTCAGGATATCTTCGGAATAATGTCGGATAAGACTCGCTCTTGGATCGTTACTCACACTGGCGTGTGGCTCCAAAGATGACGTGTACAGTTGCCCATAGAACCTCTCAATCTCACTCAAAATCTCAGGTGTCCCAGAAACGATGCTGCTACACTCGGTCTTCAGCTTTGACAGTTGGCTCTTTCTGGCAGACAGATCTCTGGCAAAGACTTTGGAGCCGTGGTACCGCTCGATTGCTTCTTCAATTCAAGTTGTATTGAATTTTCGTAAGTCCCGCCGCTAGTATTTGGAGATCTGTCTGTTCAGTAGCCTGTATGCTGTCAAATCTGTTGAAGACAGCAGCTTCATTTCCCGTCTAACAGCCATGAGATTAAGAGTGTGATCGGAGAGTTTTTGCGTTCTTCTGCGGCGGATCTTGCAGAACTTAGCTCCGACCGAATGGACAGTTTCCATGAGTTTATCATTCATATCGTCCATTTCATTGCAGTCTTCTAGACTCTTAAAACGGTTTTGT